AAGTCAGAATCAGATATTAAATAAAATATTAAAAAATGCGCTTACTTTTGAAATTATGTCAAATTTTAATGTTTTAACCAATGAGATGGATGGATTATACAATACAAAATTAGCACCTTCATGCATTCCATTGCCGTTTGCTTGCCTGCTTCTCGGACCATTACTTAACAAGTCAGAACTTACTGATAAGTTGCACAAGTTTCGGGACCAAMCCGGCTTTCACCGTCCTGTCTCTTAGTTGTGCGTCAAACGAAAGATTCAGCAGCAATCGTAGAGTTATGTTCAGCAAATCCTGAAAAAAGAATTATCCATGTCCAACTTCAATAAACGGTTACATAGAGTGCAAGTCATATAAGCATGACACAATTCTTAACTATGTAGTGCTAAATAAGATTTAGTTATCAACTAACTAAGAATTGAGAACAATGCTACAAAGGAATTTAAATAATTGGCATTGTGTTTATGCTTTGTTGAATTCTTAGTTAGTTGATAACTAAATCTTATTGAGCAATACATATTATAATTGTTTCATGCTTATGTGACGTGCACTCTAKYSCGGTCCCAGACCCTCTTAAAYGATGYGKTCTTTTATGTSTRATAACAGTATTCTTGGAGGCTTTGGTAAGCAAAATACTACACTACTGTTAAAATCAAATGTGTACAGACTGTTTTATGAATATATTTTTGAGAATATTTTTTTCTATATTTTGTAGCRGATGTGACGCAGGCTAATATTTTGAGAAGATTATTTTTTTTTCCTTTTTTTTTTCGGAATAAGAACCTGTTTTAGAATTTTTAAATGGTTCTCATGTGAAGGGTTTCTTAAAAATGAAATTTTAGCCTAACAGGTTCTTAAATATTAGGTTCTTATACGCGGCTTTTTACTGTAAAAGATTGGATAACAACCACTGACCTATGCCCTACCTCATTTGAATTTGGTACCAGTCTGGCGATTCTTTCAATGATTTTACTGTCTGCCTGTTCAAGGAGAAATCAGTTAGTTTTTCAAATTTCATTTCGGATGCGAAATATGGAGTCGTCTTCAGGAATCATGGTTTTGGTCCAGGGTGATAAGGGGAACTCTCAGAACCTGAGTTTCGTGGTCCCTTTTGAGAGGGTCCACAATAGGATGTTTTCAATCCCGCAATCCCGCTAATCTATTTTTACAATCCCGCAATCCCGTCAATTTTAATGTCGCAATCCCGAYCCCGCATTTTTCTCTTAATAGATYATTAACTTAWTATAATATCAATAGCATCAACAGCTTATTTTCCGTTTATCATCCTCTCGCGTTGTTTAACTGTACATGTACGAAATATTTTGTGCAACTACTTTTTTTCCGTTCCACTTTACATGACAGACGTCTTTCATTTCGTGTTTGTGGTGTTCATTCTCTCAGCATTACTTGACAAAATAGTCTTTTATTTCATTTTTATTTGCAAAGGAACGAGTTTCCACTCGACGTCCTTCGCTCGTAGAAGAGAGCCAGACAATTAATTAGTCGGGCGCAGGCCTTTAGGACCTGTTGCAAAAATGCGTACGGACCCCATCACGTGACCATTTTCCAAAGGTTTCAGTGAGAGCGCGCGTAGGGCCGAAATACGGGTCATATGATAGTGTACCGTTTCTATGGTTTTATATATATCTTTCAGATATCTTGCATTGAATATTATAGACGCTCTTGAGCGTATTTTTGAGCTAGTTATTTTGGAAAACTGAGAAAGACATGATATCTAAAGAAGTTAATTAGAGTTCAGTTCTGTAAAAAATTATGATGTAATAAATAACTTATATTAACTTTCGATGGGATATGGAATTGATGTATGGTATATAACATCAACAAATATTTTGAATACGAAAAAGCTACCGGCTTGCTGTGAGTATACATGTATCACTTAGGGCCTACATAAGTGTTAAACATGATCGTAGCCCGGCGACGTCACGATCGATTCGATCGTCTAGTTACATCTACTCGACCGCCAGTTGAGTTAGTTGAGGCCGTAATGGTCTGTTATTTTATTTATTACTCGTGAATAAAGTAGTCCTGGGTTCTACTTCTGTAACACTACACGAAACAAAAACAGTTGCGAGACAACAATTGTTTTACTGAGAAATTCATAGAGGAGGATCTCGATGGAGGTCTACGTTTGACGGCTAAAAAACGACGTTTTGACGGTTAATTTTTTACTTTTTTATCTTTACGTTTAAGATGGGCTAACTAATGCGCCTTTTCAAAAAGAAAAACTAGAGAAGAAAAAACTTGTCACTAAACTAAACAAATTGGAACGCAGAAATCACGTATCCCGCGGCAAAGKTTTAGAGTTATCCCGATCCCGCCGCGAAAAACGCAAAATCCCGACCCTCTTTTGAGTAAGCCAACCTCGTTTCTTACCCCTAATATCATTTTCGTTTGGGGTCTGTGAGGGTTGTCTAAGGCTCTGACAAATTTATGCACAGAATACAATACAATGTCTTGCATAAATTTGTCGRTCTGGTCTTAATTAGCCAGAGATCACAAACGGGCGAGGAGCACACAGGTTTGATCCCAGCGTCAAAGAACCGAAAGATGGCATCCTCTACAGGAATCAGTCCAGAACAGAACGGGATCTTGTCTATGATGCAAGGACTATGGCAGAACCGATGTCTTGGTATTGCARTAGGCTTCCATATCCCTGAGATTCTATGCAACAGCGAAGAAGCATCTACTGCTATAGACGACATCGCCAAACGTTTAGAGTGTAAATCAAGCAAGAATATCTACACTTTAATGAGTATTCTTGCAAAGTGGGGCATAGGAACAGAGCTGGAAGGCAAGCGCTTTGCCAAAAACAACGCCATGGAGTTGTTAAGAAGAGACAAGGGACCAAGTCTTGGGCATTTTGTGGCTCATCATTGCAGTGATGAAATTCTCTCGGCAATGAGATCAATGCCAGAATGCATTAAAAGTGGTCAACCAGCCTTTCTTATCGAACACGGGATGAACCATATCGATTACATGAATAAAGTCGAAGAACGCCCTAGTGACAAGCAAAACATGTTCCACAYGTGGATGTCAGAAAACCCAGTGAGCAGCAGCGAGCGAAGAAAAGAATTTGCTGAAAACTACAACCAAGCAGTCGATTTTTACAACGATCTATTCATCTTAGAAAGGGCCAAAGGGGTGCAAACTCTTTACACGGTTTTCCCATGGTCCTCATGCCATAAAATAGCCGACGTTGGTGGATGCACAGGTCACTTCCTCGCCTCAATCTTGAAGCTACCGGCATGTGAACACGTGCAAGGGTGTGTTGTTGACCTACCRCACGTGATAGACGACGCACTGAAAAATAGCGAGCGCAACGGCATTCCAAAAAGTCGTATTCAGTTTATAAAACACGACTTCTCCGAACCGTTCCCGAGTGAACGCCGACTAGAAGTCGATACCGTGATCATCAAAAATGTGATTTCAATGTTTGTTGGAAGGTTGGAGTTGACCATCAAGTTTTTGCGTAACTGCAGAGGTCTACTCCCCGMGCAWGGAGGTAGAGTAGTCATTATTGAATATGCGGAGTGTGGTGATAAGATTGGGTTGAACGGCTTGCAGCAAGGCTGGTATGACATGCATATGCTTAACATYGCTGGTATCTCAATCACATCTGGAGCTGACTGGGATGCCATGATGAGAGATGCAGCTTCGCAGGCTGGTTACCAGTTTCAGCGGGCTTATGATACCTTTGCTGGGGGGCTTAGTATTTTTGAACTGTCATGTGATTGAYGATGATGCAGCAAACTAAAAACCTTGAGAAAAGTTTTCGAAGGTAGACAGATAGTAGCCTCCTCCGCAGGCATCACTAAGAATCACGGGCTTCCTGTCTTTTTGAGGAATCAAAAGAGGGAGAATGGGGGCGAGAAAAGGGGAGCGTGTGATTTTTGCTATCTCGTCACTAGTCCCTAACGGCCAAAATGACCGTTACAAAGCAAGCCCAAAGGAGGAAAAAAGAGTTGCCTGTGGAGGAGGCTAGACAGATAGGGTAATAATATTCTTTATCCTTATTGGATGGAGTGATTGCAAGCTGAAATAAAATTATGACCAATGCTGATTAATTTTTACTATACGAGAAATATATGGTAACAAAGCATCCGTAAATTTACTGCGTCTGACCATTATTTTAACATTACATTAAACAACTAGAAAATACGACTAAAATTCTCGTTTTGTTTTGATTGATTCTTTCGACCACCCCATGTAAAATAGGGCAATAATCAACAAGAAGACGAGTTTCCAGCAGAAATTATATTTAATGTTTTCATCCAGGATAAGATTACATTCTGTACAGCACTTTCTGAAAACACCGTGAATTCAGGCTTTTTACAAAGCAAAGTTAAATTAAAACTGTTGTTTTTAACAATAATATATTGTACAGTTCAATAATAACGYTATCGATAACCATACTGCATTGCACGGGATACTGGTCGACCATACATRTCTGTATTTCTATCATCATACGCTTCCTCGGCATACCGGGGAGATACCGGCCTTCCTCCGTACCGACTACCCGGTCTCGCAATTTGMCCCTGTGTCGGATACTGCTCCTGTACTCCAGGATCTCCTAYAAGTCGTCCCCAGTCATCAACTTCCTCTTCACCACCCGGGTATCCATTGCCCTGGTACCCTTCCCCCGGGTATTGTTGCATCATGTATTGGTTGATATATCTCCGGTCGGCGCCACCATACGGATCCTCTCCGTCGTCAAACACCATATACTCCCCAGCCTCCCCGGTCATGAAATCAGGAGTGGTTGCTCCTTCACGGGACATTAATGTGACAGGGTCATCATATCCCGGGTGTCCGTAAAAGAGCTCTGGTCGATCTAAGAGGTCCGCGTCGAGATAAGGCGCCTCGTTATCCCCGGCGTACATRAAGCCCTCTTCTTCGTCCATCTGTGACTTTTATACAGTCATGCAGTTGGTTTCCTTTAGTCTCATTTTAGCTTGATTATTTTCTTTTCTTTTTTTTTTTGGGGGGGGGGGGGGGGGGGTTATGTTTTGCATGTCATCTCTTGCATGTCAATCTATTCTACTTTTTAACACTTGTTCAAATACTCATTAATTATTCATGAGGTATTCAGCCAATCCCTGTTTGTAATTTGTACCACGTGAAGTAATTGCGCGGACTTTGAAACCCCGTCAAGTTCTCATTGTCGGCCTTTAAACATTACTTCAAATACTGTACATTGTATATTTTGAATTAAAGTGTTTTCCACTGACTTACCATTTCATCCTTGTTTTCGGCAAAAATACTGAGTTTTTTGAGAAATGAGACAACCATGATAAGAAGATCTGGGTTTTCTCTATCGAGTAGTTCCACCAGCATATTGACAATCCTTTTRTTCTTCATTTTCATCTCAACCTTGGCATCTTCGGCCAGATTTAGGAGCAAATAGATTATCACTGTAATAAAAGCATGATTTGTACAGCAGTCATTGGCAAAAATTCTAACCGCTGCACTCTAGTATCGAAATAATCCTAAATTGTAYTTAATTTTATGAATAGTCTTCTTCACAGTTCCCTGCGCCATCTTGAAAGGTAGCCATGCCTTTGCATCAGAGTGAGAGGACTGCTCAGCGTGCAATGATAGAAACCTTCTTTCACACCTACAGACAATTATTCACAGGTATCTATCATTGCACGCTCAACAGTTGTATCGCTTCGATGTAAAAGGGACGGCTACCTTTCAAGATGCCGCAGGGAACCGTGAAGAAGGCTTTTCCAAACCCACTCATGAGATAGAAACTCAACAAAATGTTATTTTACCCCATATTAATAACCTTTGGCAATGTCAAGTAATATTACCATTGATTCAATTCGTTAGCTCCCCCAACCCCCACCTTCAAAGATGCTCCATGGTCCCTGCTGGAATACTTTAGGTACTTACTATCTCTAGTTAGTAAAATACTAGTACATAACATTTTGTACCTCTTAACAGTTGGTCTTGTTTCTTTACAAGTCCAAGAAACTTCTTATAACTTTTTTCATATTCCTTTCTGTTGTTACTTGTCAATGAGTTAAGTCTTCAAGTGTTTTTAGATGCATTTACAGGCTACACAACCCAGATGGGAACAAACAAGCCAACCACCAACAAGAAATCATGAAATCTACCATTTGAGTTTCAAGTTTCACAGTTGTAAAAATACAACTATACTAAAATAGTTAGATTTAATATCACAGTGAAGCACCAAGAATGATATTATAACAAAAAGCAGACAGAGGATTCCAGGAATATAACCTGGTATCATAAAACACATAGACAACAAAAGCATCTCAGTCAAGACACAAAACTGTCAACATGATTTCAAATGGTCTCCAGAATCTAAAAATACAATAATTGTTATCCAAATGACTAGAGCAAAAACAGGAAAACCATGAAATAAAATCAAACTAAATACTAACATATAGCGAGTATTTGGAGACAAATTGTCAGTATCAATGAACCAAAACACAATGAAGATGAATCCACATGGGACCATTTTTCATTCATCTTTATTGTGTTCTGGTTCATTGATACTGACAATTTGTCTCTAAATAGCCACTATTTGTTCGTATTTAGTTTGATTTTATTTCATGGTTTTCCTGCGTTTGCTCTATTTATTATCATCATTATCACCATCTACATCATCACCATCATTGCCATCATCATCTTCATCGTCATCATCATCATAATACAAAGGATATCAGATTTTTTCTTTTCAAGTTCTTCKGTCCAGGATGCATAGCGTGATATTTCATGTTCCATGATTTGCATGCACATGGCACCAACTTTATAATGGATAATTATTGAATGGAATTGAGAAAAGCTTGAGAAACAGAAGAACATGTAAACAATGTTTGTTGTTAATTCTGTGCTCTTCTTCCAGTCTTCGCGTAAAACTCTTGATAATGCTCCCAGAACAGTTTCTAAAAAATATACAATAAAGAAATAATAATAATAATAATTCATTTCTTTAACGCATTATACATGTGTCTCAATGCTTTTGCAATCAACTACATGTATAAGAATTAAAAAAATGTATAAAAAAATAATAGATTGTCAAAGTGAGGGTAACGCGGAGCACGAAGGAAGGATGTCAACCAGCCGTAGGTACATCAGKCCTCCGCRCAACCTTGAAGTAATATTCCAAAAATCGTGGTTGTTCTTAAAAAGTTTTYGAAGCGTTAAAGGGACTTAAGTCCAGCCAACAAAATAGTCATTCTATGTATTAGTTTAAGACTCTTTAGATTACACTCAGTTTACAAGACAAAAGAAGTTTTGAGAATTATTCTTTTGGGCACCCCTACCATTTTGAGCTATTTCTTCTAAGTTATCTGGGTTTCGTGAAATCTGGAGTATCAATGCTGTGCCACGCACTTTCTCTGGAATATCTTCATAAAGTAATTCTATGTAGTCATCAATGTCATTGATATTGGCTACCTCATCAATCTATAAAAACCCATGAAATTGTTATCAATCAATCAATTAAAAAAATCAAACAATCWAAAAATTAAATGACTTCACAGCTAACTATCACCAATATCATATTACAGCAAAATGTACCTCAGTGTCTTCAAAGTCTGGCGCGGCAGCTTCATGCAGCATTTTATATTCTGATTTTTTRCCTTCTAGAAAGTAATATAATAGGAAAAATATATATTTAGCATATTAGTTATTTAAAACACATGTAAATTATATAGCCAACCTGTAAATGAGTGAAGCACTGAGGTAGAGTACAAACATTAAATGTGTGCGACACTTTCCACTATTTACTACAAAATAGTGTTAATTAAACAATAGAAAACAATAGAATTAGCATAATTTATCAGTACTTAGTAGTATTTATGTTGCACAGTTTTAGTGTTTGTACTCTAGCAAGATTCTAAAAATAATACGTCATTTCATAAGCACATTTCTGAAACAATTCTACCCTAAGGCTATCATAACTTTATACTGTGTATAATATTGCACTGTAGAGTTAGCTTATGAACATTAAATACTTATACCTATTTTTATATATTTAGTAAATATATTTTATTGGATTTGCTTATTGTTGAATTGTTAATAATCTAAATGCCTAGTATAGTTAAGAACTTATTGTAATTTATATATTTTATCTGTTAGGCGCATGTGATCATATACACATGAAACATGCACGGTATAAGCAATAAAGATTATTATTATTATTATTATTATTATTATTATTATTATTATTATTATTATTATTATTATTATTATTATTATTATTATGAAAGGTACATAAAAGTATCTATCTATTAAAAGGTTTCCACTAGTTACGCTTTAGAAGGGATTTATCCAAAATCCATATAAAAATGGATATAATTGCACACATATACAGTATTTACCTGCTAATAAGAACCTGCAATTTAAGAACCTGTTAGCCTAAAAATATCAATTTAGACCCCATTTACATGAACCTATTTAGCCTAAAATTTGAAACAGGTTCTTATAAATTGATTCTTACAGAAATTAACCTCTAAAAAAATCTTCATGCAAAAAAAGCTTGACTCAAAAGTAGTAAACTTGGTATAATTTGGCATAATTTTTTGTATAATAGACCTAATCAGCTTCAACCCATTTCAGACCACCCGGGAGTAAGTTTCATTGTTCATTGGATTTTCATTTCATAGTTGAATTCTTATTAGTAGAAACAAAAGTTCTTTTTCCCACAGGATTTGAATTGGGTGGCAATGTACATAGCAACGTCGTTAGCCGATCAGGTCTAGTATGGGTCATGATCACATACTGTCTGAAGGCAAGGCCTGTTTTGGCATTGACGGAATTAATAATACATGAAACCTTTCTACCATTCACGGGTGTACAATATTTTCTCATTGAATAAGAACCTATTTAAAAACCTGTTAGCCTAAAAACGCACCAAGCACCATTTACATTATTTTATAAGAACTTGTTTAGGCTAAATTTGAAAAAATGGTAAGTACTRTAACTGTGCCAAGAATTGTTTGATGCAAACATATGTGAAACAATATTAATAATAATAATTATTATTAATGTTATTATTACTATTACTATTAAATTGGAAAACAAAGGAATTAGTGTAAATAAAAAAATAAAAAATAAATAAAGTTAAATTAAATAAAGTAATATTTCACCTATACTGTTTCACATATGAAGTGTATTGGCTTTATAGTATACCTTTGCCTTTCCCATTATTTTTCCTGTTTTGTAAATAGTACAATAACTGYTCAACTTCGGGTAGCTTTGAAGGATGAATCAGTTTACATTTTTCAATTATTTCCTTTGCCAGTGCACCGATGTTAGTCGTATTATTGAGACTCTTCAACCGGATTCTGAAGAAAAATTATCAAATAAATAAAACATCTTACAGAATTGGAATAATTGAATTATATGTAAAATATCTAAACTGTTGTGAATTCTCACTTTAGTTTAAAAGGAAACAATTTCAGCTTACACTTTTTGGCATTCTTTCCTTTCACCGACCATGGGTTCCCCCATTTCTCCAAGAATGAGTGCTTCAACTTCATARTTAACAACAATGGCGTTTTCTGTTGGATGGACATCGACTGAACCTCCTTTTACTCGCCTAAAATCGACAACAACAAAACTGTATCTTGGTAACGGCTTTCACCGATKTGACAAGMAACTTGYAGCTYCGAAAATTAATATTWTCACTCCATTCTAACAATAAACAAACCTTTTTAAGAATCTAGCTTCGTTTGCYTGCATTGYGARGARCTTAATAGGGCGACTAGGCTTTGATTCTAGTTATTCTAACGACTTTCCAAAAGCAATCATCCATTCTTGTTATTACCGTCGCCATCTTGGACTTGAAAGTTGATTTGTGGGTAATGTTAAAACACAGGAAACCCAAATCGCGTTTTCCTCCAATGTGATGTCACCGAGTGTTACTATTACTAACTAAAGTGACGTCATCCCGTCAAGTTATTTTTAGCAATGATTAACTGCAACTTGTTACATGCATTTTAATAAGTCATTAGCTTCAGCGTCTTGGAGATAACATGTTGGAAATCGCCTTCCTTCTTGCTATTGGAGCTGTAGTGGCCCCTTTGGCCAACTCCTTTGGATTGGCCCCTGTGGTAAAGATCGACAGTGGCCAAGTTCGAGGCTACACTGGAGTMGTAAACAACACTGGYGGGCTYRMAGTCAGAGGATACCTTGGTATTCCGTTTGCACAGGCAAAACGATTTGAGGCCCCAGAGCCTCCCAAATCATGGAGTGATATTAAAAACGTGATGGCARTGGGMAAAGTCTGCCCACAAGCSATWGGTCCGMTTGGTGCCCCATCAGTGGCAGACGTCAGCGAAGATTGTTTAAACCTCAACGTATTTCTTCCGGACAACATAACGAGCTCTGACCGTTTGCCCGTTATGGTGTGGATCTACGGCGGTGGGTTTACTGTGGGYTCMAATCGTATATATGATGGTAGCTTCCTCGCAACACTTGGTAAAGTAGTCGTTGTAGTCATCAACTATCGGGTGTC